CACACGCACACACACAGGACAGCGCCTATGTGTTAGAAACTCACATGAATTTATTTGGGCACTAAATTTTGTGGTCAGCGGTGAATCAATCTTCCTGTCATGTCCATCTCTCTCTCTCTGTTATAGCGGCTATACGTCTGTGAGTGTGTTTTTGTGCAAGTGTGTTTGTATCTTTGTGTGTGTTGGCGTGTGACAGAGAGAGAATTTCTGCCCTGTTCAATCACCCATAAAATAACCCAGTTGAGAGTTCCCACAATGCCCCTCTACTCACAATAGTATGACTGAATGAGTCAAAACACACACACACAAACACCTATGTAAATATATCTACATATCTGGGGAAATTCCATTCAAAGTCTATTGTTTTTACTATATTGTAAGCTAATTACTAAGCTAATCACTCTAGACTAACCTGAAACATACAACACAATGAAGACATCATTTAGCTCCTTTATGAATAAGGGCCATTCACAAAGGATGCATCCGTGCTTTTTAGCCCCATGTGCTGCGTGTACACCATGAGGATTAATGGGCAGATCCAACGTTTTGACAAATACCTGATTTGTTTTTTGTCCCATCTGTTTACATTCATCTCAGACATACATTTATATTCATAACATTTAAATTGATCTGCACTGTTCTGTCAGTCAGTCATACAAGTAAACATCTATCTGTCTGTCTGTCTGTCTGTCTGTCTATCTATCTATCTATCTATCTATCTATCTATCTTTCTATCGATCTATCGTTCTATCTACCTATTTGTCTGTCTATCAATGCATCTATTTCTATCTAACCATCTATCTATATGCCTATCCATATGTCTCTCTAAGTGTGATTTAAAAGCATGCAGAGCCATCTGCGCTCGTGGTACTTTGATGTCATACACTGATAGGTCTGTGCATCACAGCTTAATTCAAGACGAACACACCTATTGAGTTGATTGGTGATGAAAATTATGCAAGGCAACAGTTATATGCCCCTAAAATTCAAGAGAATGGGGCAAAAAAGAGCCCTGTATGGGTTTTTGTCTCATATTTATATCATATGATATATTTAAAGGGGTCCTATTATGCTTTTTCACTTTTTGAATTTTAGTCAGTGTGTAGTGTGTATGTTTGGGCATAAAAAAGATCTTCAAACTTACAAATCTCAAAGTCCACTCCAAAGGGAAATATTTCGTTTTTAAAAAATCCCTTTTCAAGAACTACAACGAACGGCTCGTTTGGACTACAGCGTTTGTT